TGGTACATGTGGATCTTACCATCCTTGCCTCCTATGAGGTAGAGACCAAAGTCAGGGCTTCCAGATCACAGAGGTGTCCACAGAGCCTTGGCCTTGGGAACTGAAGGCCCTAGGTGCTGTCTTGGTTCACATCTCACTCGCAAGTTACATCGCACCTCTGCTCCACATTACCTTGGGCCTCACTGAAGAGGAAGAGTTGCAGTGCCCCTGGTGATGCTGATGACCACCCTGGAGTCTTGTTCATTAAGTGTTACGCTCAGGCTCTTCCACGTGCATTGCCACAGTGGCCAGCAGATCCAAGCAGGTCTCACAGTGACTGTTCCTTCCCAACACACCATCAGGTGACAGTGAAAGAATTCTCACACCAGATTTATCTACATGTTCATGCCATGGGCTGTTCCAGCTTCAGCTGGGTGAGGACCAAGGACCGCAATTCTCATCCTCCCCCTCCTTCTCAAACCGTAAGCTGGCCCTGAGTTCTTAGCACCGCCCAGCCCACTGGGTCAGCTCCTTGAGATAGGTGCCAATCAAGTGTTCCAGGGGCTGGGCTTCAATTCTCTCTCAGGCACACCTGACACCTGCTCAGGGTTCACCCTGCTCTCACCTCCCTCTGCATGTATTTCTCTAGTTTTACAAGGAATCTTTCATTAGCAAGTGGTTTGGTTTTATTTCCATATATTTGGAACATAATAAAATATGGTCTGATTTCACCATCTTAGTACAATTACAGCCAACACTGTGGCCCATTCTGCAGCATTCACCCTTAAAGACCCACTTTCTTTTCACACAGCCACACACTGGCTGCTCACTTCTGTGTGCTGTTGACTGTTCGTATATCCAGTGCTTTTCCCTGGTGGCTATATAGTTGTTAGGACTTATTTGCAATGATTGTGCAATGTTCCATTGGTGCGTAAACAGTAATTCGTGTGCTCATGTCACCCAGAACTGATAAGAAGTATGAAAGAGCAATTTAGAAAAAAAATGATCCCTCTGCTTGTTGAATCTTGATTCTTCCTGCATTCCGGCATTGTGGACCTGAGGAGCCTCCCTGCACCTGTCAGCTGGCCTATACATGGTGCCAGGACTCTCAGCTCCCTTACACATGGGGCTGGGGCTGATCAAGGTACCTTCTACACTGTCTTCTTCCTTAAGAAAGAAAATTGAAGACAGCCCCTAAAAATCACAAACTATGGTTTAAGTGTATATGATTTTAAACGGGGGCCATAAAAGATCTAAAAATGTACATACATGACCACTGACCTGTGTAGCCTGTAGTCTGATTACAAATGTGCAGACAGTTACATTGATTTATTCACCCATTCATTCTTTCACTAGCCTACCACACCCCAAGGTGCCAGCCTGCCTGTCTCAAACATTGGCATGAACTTCTCTAACTCTTGGCTCTGGCATCACTTCCTCAGAGTCTTCCTAAATCCCTGGCCTGTCCCAGAGCCCCCATTTCTGTGCCTCTCAAAGTCCTAGAGCCCGGTCACTTGCACTGTGTCTGTCATACCTGAAGCATGACACATACGCACCTTCCTGAGTTCTGGGTATTCACTGCGTGCTGCAGCACATGGAGCGAGGTTCACAGTGGTTATCTGTGAAGCGCTGGTGTGGTGTGAGGCACCACATGGGAGAGGATGTAGGAACCAAAATGGAACCGACACTGCAGGTGGCCTTCACCAACTTTTGGAGATGTGTAGCATGAGTCCAGATGATTTATTTTTGAGCTCAGACCAAGATAATTATGGCTGTAAGAGCGGAGGTGACATCAAAGAGGAAGCTGTATCTTGTCATCCAGGAAATGTCACAGAGAAAGCGCTCTGGAGCAAGCCAGCCCGGGAATATGGCATCGGTGCTCCTGGATGTGATAGTCTCGGCTGAGTTTCTGCACAGTAATGAGATCTGCTTTCTCGGAGCCTTGAAGACCAAGAAACAGGGCTGTGTGGGCCATGTGCCAGGCAGCTTTGCCCTTCTGAGCTGGGTTAGCCACTTGAGCTACTGGAACCTCAGTTTGCTCCTCTGAAGTTTGGAAATGGTCATTTCTTCCTGAAGTTGTTAGAAGGTTGGATTAGGTAAGAGAAGCAATGTGACTGACACGGGCACAGTTGTTCACTTCTGACGCTGCTGTGTTTCAGGAGAAACCCACCTAGCTGCACATGCTTA